TTTTTTTTTCATGTCTATTTAATCGCAATTTATGACACTATGTTTGCACTGAAGCACCGCAGCAATTTCCTAATGTTGTAAACCTGCTTAACATTTGGCAATAAAACTGATTCTGATTCTGATTCTGAGAGGTGGCATCTGATACCCGACCTGACATATAGACACATAGTTTTCTACAGTCAATGGTTCAAACCTTTACTGGAGCCTCCCAGTGTGCAAGCCACAGTGCAGCTCATTTTTTCTTTTTTTGCACACAGAAACCCTTTGTATAAGAACATCTTATTAAATAACAATAGTACAGAAATGTTAAATAAGTTGAAATACTCAAGGGCCTTCCTGCTCCCATCTTTCCTTTATCTCCATGTTTGATTTTCATGTCGCAGCTTCCTTTTGCTCTGCTGGCTGCTCTGCCTTTGTAAAAAACAAAAAAACAAAAACAACAACAACATGGCAGATTGAACTGATTGCTTATGCTTTAGGGATTTTTTTCAGTAAATTTTATATCTAATGTCCTTTTTTATAATGGTTAAAAAAAATATATGCTGTGGTCAACGAGCTCACTTTTGGCGCCGATTGACTTGTTCGCACTCCAGGCCAGTAGAGGGCGAACGGCTCCAAGCTGGTTTGCTAACTACCAATCAAAGCAACAGGAGAAGAAGAGAACCCGGACGGTACAGTGGCGTCATTTCATTGTTCATTCATTGGTATCGAGGCCTACGTCTCTTTATAGGTGAGCTGGGGGTTTTGGTGTGAAGACGTGACACGACTCTTTATGTGTGCGATGTAAAACGTACGTTGTGGTGTTTATTGAAGAAGAAAAGTAATTAACAGGCCAAAGTGAGTGAGTCTGCGGCTAGCGAGCATTAGCTTCCTGGACGTATTACAGTCAAAAATTATAAATAGCAGTGGATGAATGGTGAAGAGTTGCGAACTAAACGCAGTTTACATAGTTTAGAAATTGGGAGCAACACGTACCTGTGGCGTTAGGGTTCGTTATCGTGTGATTAATGTAACATACGGATTAGTGCTAACAAGCTAGCTACTTTACGAGTGCAAAACTGGTGTTGACATGTCTCCACTGACAAATGAAGGCAGTGTGTAATATGAAGGTGGTACTTTTCCAAATACAGCATACACACACAAAAGTTAGCACAGCTGCTCAGCAAAAGTCTGTTTATGTCACTCAGCCCCAAAGCAGCTCCTGTCACAGCCCCGAATTCAGCTCTTCTCATCTGCGGATCATTTTGCAGCAGCAACATGTAGATACGGTTTAAATGAATTGTGTACTCTCTGTGTGTACACTTGATTACTCGAGTAGTCACACATGTTAGATCACCTGTGATGAGTACAGATAAGAAGCTATCCTGCCAGTGTCTGACATGGACATCATTCTGACCACCACAGACAGTCCACACGTTGAATCTTCTGCAGTCTAATAAAAGAAGCTGAGTGAATGATTCTCTCCTTTTATGTGACTTGATTTTGGCCTGTCCTCATTGATGTTTGGTGTGAACACATTCAACAGTTTAAGCAAACATGCCCTGCCTTGTTAATGTTTGCGAAGGCCTTTGTATTAGCTGAACAATTGCTTTTAGATTTAGTTTGTATTTATTTGTATAAGGTAGCAATTTCATGACATTGTTAACCAACAGAAATCGGCAATGGGCCTCTCATCCTTTTAGATCAATAAGTATGGAATGTGTTCCTAACAGACACATTTCTTGATCTTCTAGGATACACAGAATTCATCATGGTGAAAATTTTTATTGGCAACCTTGCCTGCAATGCCACAGCAGAGGAGCTACGGGAACTCTTCGAGAAGTACGGCAAAGTCACAGAATGTGACACTGTCAAAAACTACGGCTTTGTACACATGAGCAACATGAGCGAGGCAGAGGAGGCCATCAAAAACCTCCACCAGCACCAGCTGCATGGCTGGCGCATGAATGTGGAAATGAGCAAAGGGAGGCCTAAGTCCACCACCAAACTGCATGTCAGCAACCTCGGGGAAGAGGTCACTAGTGACGTTTTGAGGGCCAAGTTTGAAGAGTTTGGCCCAGTGGTGGAGTGTGACATTGTTAAGGACTATGCCTTTGTTCACATGGAGCGAGTCGAGGATGCAATGGAAGCCATCAGTAAGCTGGACAACACAGCCTACAAAGGTGAACGCTCGGGCAGGGGAGTGCAAGTTGTCTTCTCTGTACATGCAATTTTGGATTCTATTTTGCCGCCGTAGGGATAAGTAAAGTCCTCTTTCTGATGTATTACCACAGAGTATAGATAACCGTTGCTATAACTGACGAGTTAACTGAAAAATAATCACAAGTTTGGAAGGTCTTTTTGTAAAACCAGTGGCAGTGTACTTGATGAATGGGCACTGCACTGTCATTCAGTCACCTGCACGTTTTTTCGCTTCTCTCAGTCATTGTCGCTTTAACGTGTTTAATGGTCGTTAAGAAGCTTTCCGTGTCAGAGTCCCCACGGTCTCATGCGTGTCTTCTCTTTCCTTACAAGGCAAGCTGATGAGCGTACAGCTATCCACCAGTCGGCTTCGCACTGCCCCGGGAATGGGAAATCATATGGGCTGCTTTGTCTGCGGGAAACACGGCCACTGGTCGAAAGACTGTCCAGTCGCTCGGAACGGTAGCCACAGTGACAGCATGAGAGGCCGCGGCGCCCGGGCCCCGCCACACGGTCTCCCAAGTTATGGCAGCTACGGGATGGCCTCACCTGCAGCAGCTGATTACATGGGTGGCTCTGCATATAGTCCGGCTAGTTACGTAGGTGGGTTGCCTCCACCTCTTCCCCACAGGCTTAGCGGCTACGCCTCTGAGCCGGGGGATCGGTACGGCAGCAGAGCACCAGGCTCCTATGCTGATAGGTCACCAGCCTTTGATCGTGACCATCTCTATAGCAGCGTCAACTATTATGAGAAGTACAGAGCTCATCCTTTTGGCTCAAGCTATTTTGAGGATCGGCGCATGTCCTACCTTCCCCCTCCCCCACCTTCCTCCATCTCAAAGCTCTCATCCAGTGTAGATCCCTTTGAGCGTCAGGCCCTGCCTCCGCCTCAAGCGCCTGCCGCATGCTACACAGGTGAGCACACCCCGACCAGACGAGCAGCTGTCCCATCAGCTGGCTTTGCCTATGAGCGAACGCAACTGTCGCCTGCCTCTGCCTCCAGGAGCTCATACACAGCTGCACGACCCAAGGGTCATTATGCATCACGTTATGCGCCTTACTAAAGCCAGGTGAGCACCACAGTCCATAACGTTACTTTAAGACATTAGCAGTCAGCGGGCACTGACGCGGTTCTGTGTTTGTCTGAACTTGGACTGTTTTTTAACGTTCTGAATCTTTTAAAGTTGTGGTAAGTGTCAGCACTGTTTCTCAGGAATGCTGTGCTCTCTTTCTAGGTCTGTCTGTGAACTGCAAGACTTTTCCTTTGCCGTCACTTCAAGTGTGATTCCTTCAGTCTGCGTTGATGTACGGCAAAGAGACTCTGTTTGGAAAATGGTGTCCGTATCTTCTAGGCATCTGAGATGCCAGTGGCCTGCAGATGACTCGTCCTTTTCAGCCATGTTCCCCTAGCTTGTTTTCTGAAGGGGCGATTAGCAAATGTCACACTTTGACATTTTTCTTACTCTGCAGGTTTTCAGCTCGGGTTTTAGCCAAGTCTTTCTTTCTTTACATGTCTCTCATCATTTGTTGCAAATTGTTCAAATCGGCAAATAATAATTTTTGGTCTTTCTTTGTCATTTAGACATATTCTTGTTCAGTTAATACATGTTTTGTTTTTTGAGATTGCATGAAGCATACCTCATTCCACATAATGGCATAGGTTACCTGTTGCACAGAAGAATTGGATTTTGCCCTTTCACACATTTGAAATGTGTGTCAGTAAAAGGAATTTGGATAAAGAGAAAAAAGTGTTACAAATGATCATCATTGCTGCAGCGGGCGGTAACTCTCAATGTGTATTTTATCACAGGTAAAGCCAGTGTGGAATCGAATGGTGCAGCGTTTCCCTCTGTAGTGGATTAAAAGGCTAAAGGCAGCAGCAGGGAAATGGATGTGTGTGCAGTCTAGCGTTCAGTTAGCATTTACAGAGGGATACTTTGAGTTTAAACCAAAGTTAAGCCTGGAGATCATAAACATTCCAGCTTTTTTCTCATTTAAATGTGTCTGTGGGTTCTGCTATTTGTTCGTTTTCTAATAATTGAGGTGTCTGCTGGGCTAAAATTCTTCAACTAAGTGACACCAAAGTGAGACTGCTAGCTGATATGGATTGTGCAACTGACAAACGGTTTTCTTCCTGATGATAGTGGTGCTGACTGCCTGTAGCCAACAACAGAAACGAGCCACGGTGTGTGAGATCTCTATTGTATCCATGTAACACTGAGTAGGAACAAGTCTGTGGGGGGACGGAGCAGAGCTGTAGAGTTGTGAGGCACGTCCTGTGTACTGTTGAAGGTGCCTTTCCTTGTTTTGCTTATGAGTGGATTTGAAGTTTGTATTTTTCATACTAGCTGAAAAAATATTAATATACCTTTTAAAAAAAATCTGAAGTTAATGATTTTTAATAAAGCCAAAATTATTTTGGTCATGCTCGTTTCAGTTTTTTTACTTGAGTATGATGAATGCAGTGGTGTGGCTTTTGGTATTTTGTTCTAAAAATGCTCCAAGTATGAATATCAGAAAATAAAATCCAGCTCTTTGTCCAAATAGGGGCTCAAGGTTAATGTTCAAGACGATGTCTTGTAAAAAAGAAAGTCTCCATGAAAGGCCATTCTTCACCTATTTAAAATCTATATTTCTTTGAAATTCTGTTTTTTGTTTGTTTGTTTAAAGCTCTTCATTGATGTAGAGCCACAGTTGAATTAAACTTTTCAGTGCAGATTTTAAGGAGAAAAAACACTAACCCCTGTCTCTTCATTGTGTTAAGATTCAGGACCGTGCATTTGAATTCCATTTAAAAGAGAGAGAAGTCACCGGGACAAGCCAGGAGAAATAAAAATTATTTTGACAAACCAAAACAGCCTTATGTGCTGAGCCACACTTTGGGTCATGTGTGTTTTATTCTGCTGCGGATGGTAGAGTATACAGGACGGTCCACTGTGCCCAAACTGGGATGGATCAGAACGAAATTGCCCCCTCTTTCGCTACGTTGTTATCAATAAGGTTTTCATATCAGAACATATTGGACGAAACGCATTGACACTAATCTGTATGTGGTAGTCCAGTTAACTTGAAAACTTTGCTCCGTGAACCGAGATGGGACCTCCAAACTCCAGATCCAGCTTTGAGTGGGCTGTGTGTCTCCGCATGAACGCTTTCAAAGACCCAATGATGTGATCCAGCGACTGTATGAAAGAACCTTTTTCACTTTTGATCAGCGTGATTAGGTGCTAATCTTCCAAAGCAAGTCGGATTTCTTAAATGTCACTGTTCAAGTACTGATAATAATGTTTAGAAAAAAACTATTTTACACGTAGTCACGAAGTATATCCTCCATCTTGCCTATTCTCCTGCCTTGGTTTCCTTTGCTCTGCATGTGGAGACGCCATGGCTTAGCTTTCGGTGCTAGCTAGTCCCTCCCAAAAAGCGCTAGCGGGGTTAGCTGTATGTATTTGCCTGCCAACGCGCTAGCCGCCATTTCATTCTCCGAGGGAGGAGACGAGGAGTGCGACTTTTAACAGGTATGAATTGTATTACCCCGTAATTGCGAGGAACAAAAAATCGGTTGCGAAAGTGACCCAGTGCACCACAGTTCCAGCTGCTCCAGAAGTGTTTGCTGTAAAAGTGATCTGCTAATCCAACATCTAAGCTACAGCCTCGCGACTCGTGTAGTGAAGGCCGCAGCCTGAATGTTGTGACGTTACGTAAGAGTAACTGACCAAAGCAGGCATAGTATAGTGCGGTAAGTTTAAGTGTTTTGTCAGGTTTTGATGCACATTGTAATCAGATAAGCTGCGGTGATGTTATTTAGCGGTGCCGCTAACGACTTTTTTCGGCTGCGTGCTCAGTGTCTGGTTAAGCACCGCGCGGGCACTGCTGTGCTTGCTAATGGCTCGTTCGCGCGTTTCCTTTGGACTCCGCACACCACGCTGGTTCTTTGTAAACTAAACAGCCGATGGAAATGGCTCCGCTGAATCCAGTCCACTGCAGCTTTGTCTGTTGGTCAGCTCCTTCGTCAAACTTTAATTGTTGCGCTTAAACTTTTGCCCAAAGAGCGCGTCCATTACGTTATTCTCCAGTTGACGTTCAAGGCCCATACGGTGACTCGTTAAAGCTGAGTGGGTTATCTTCAATGAAATACTGTCGGAGTGCTGGCTTTGTTAGTATTGCTGCCACTCTATTCTGTGCAGTGTTGTTCGTGTTGACCCCATTAGATTACGTGGAGACTTTCTATACAGTTAACTAGTAGGGGTCCTCACTCCTACATGCCCAGGAAGCCTTGTCAATGGAGAAAAGTCCATAAAGTTTGAGTAGTGATTGCTCAACAACACTGCTGGAAACTCATTATTGCAGAAGTTCACCTTATAACCTTGGAGTTGTGATTTGGCGCTATATTAATAAAATTGAACTGAATAGCATTTTGTTAAATTAACTGGTAAAAGTTTCAATTCAGTCATCGGAGTCATGACGCTACTAATGCTGAAGTTCCTCTCTTCCTTTAGTGACGTGGACCCTGCACAATGGTGAAAATATTCATAGGGAACTTGTCCCCAGACACCACATCAGATGAACTTCGCTCTCTCTTCTCTCAGTATGGCAAGATTGCAGAATGCTCAATTGTCAAGAACTTTGGCTTTGTGCACATGGATGACAAAACAGAGGCAGAGGAAGCCATCCGCAATCTCCACCAGTATGAGCTGAATGGCCAGCCTATGAACGTGGAATTAAGTCGTGGCAAGTCAAGGGGATCCACCAAACTGCACGTTGGCAACATTGCCTGTACCAACCAGGAGCTGAGGGCCAAGTTTGAAGAGTTTGGCGCTGTGTTGGAGTGTGACATAGTAAAAAACTATGCTTTTGTTCACATGGAGAGAATGGAGGATGCCATGGAAGCCATTAATCAGTTAGACAACACAGCTTTTAAAGGTGAACTCTTGGGCTGGGCTTGATGATTTAATTAAAGTCAGATTAAAGATGTAGTATCAATATTGTTGTTATGTTGATGGGTAAATTATTGCTCAAATGCAGGTGAGTAAAAAGAACTAAGGTAAGTTTTAATAGACAATTCCAACATCATTTTAAAGCTGGTATCCGTAATGTCTTTGGTAATATCCGCCTGTGTTGTGGACTTAAAGGGACACAGACTGGAATTTATGACTCACTCGTCAGGTAAACACCTGTTGTGTGGTTATTCCAAGTATTTGATTTGAAGTACATAGAGTGTACAAATCGTACCAAATGCATAGTCCCATTAAGGGCAGGATTAAAACGGACATGACGTAGTCCTGTTCGTAGAACGTGGTGTTTGACACGCATTTATTCGCAGGATCATAAATCTCGGGTTGCGCCGGTGAGATCCACGTCCGCACCACGGGTACAAGTTGAAATTGACGCTCACTGATCACATCGTATTAGTTACCTGTTGTGTTTTCGGTGGTTTAAGAAGCGTTTCAAGTTACGGATTTCAGCTTTAATAACCATATTTTTAGTGCTCAAATCATTAGGTATGTCTTCTTGCTACTGTTGAGATACAATGCAGCCTTTTAGCTGATTGATACAGGCAGGAAATATGAATGCAGGTATAAATCCTTATTGAGTCTTTTCTTTTTAAGGCAAACTGATGAGCGTGAAGCTTTCGACTAGCCGCCTGCGTACTGCGCCGGGAATGGGAGACAGATCGGGTTGTTATCGTTGCGGGCAGGAAGGCCACTGGTCCAAAGAATGCCCTCTTGACCAAAATGGCTACCACGGTTCAGAGCCAAAGTCTGATGGATACGATGCCTCGAGATTTGGCGGGCGGGGTCGCAGCAGGGGTTATCATCCGGACTTCAGTGGCGAACCAGATTACGGTGGCAGCTATGCTCCTGTGCACGGTTTTTCCCGAGGTTCCGGTCACAGCAGCAACATGGCAGGGTACAGAAGAGGTGCAGGCTATGAGGGTGCAATGAGGTATGGGCCACACCCGGGGTATGGTGTAAATGCTGCTGCAGAACATAGCATGGCTCAGATGTATGGCGGCGAGGCAGCATACAGGGGCAACGGCTCACTCTATGGCGCGTTCCCAGCCTACCCGGTGCGACGGTCGCCTTACGAGGAAAGAGATCCGTACGGGGTTGTGGACTACTACGAGAAGTACAGGGCCAATACTTACGGAGGCAGTTATTTCGAGGAACGCCGCGCTGTCCCCTTGCCTGCTCCAGCAGCGTCCTCCTCCACGGCTATAATGAGAGAGCGTCTGCCTCCCTCTAATGTCAACCCATACGAGCGCCCTCCCCTCCCTCCTCCACCAGCCCCAGTCTCTTCATACTACGCACGTGACCGGAGTCCGATTCGGAGAGTTGCTGCCGAAGCAGATGGATATACATATGAGCGTTCGCGCCTTTCTCCGGTGACCGCCCTCCCAAGAAGTTCTACCTATGAAAATCCGCGGGATCCCGGCGCGGAGCGGGCACGGTATACATACTAGTGCTTGTCCCATGCAGTCAGGGCAGAGCTGATTTACAGTAAGCAGGTAGGCTAGCCGAAGTGCCATGTAAACGTCACACAGTGAATCTCATTGCTGTTGTTTGAAGCTAAAGTCAGCGCTCTGTATGTGGGTGGGTGGGCACAGTAAGCAGAACATTTAAGTCTAAATGGTTGGATACATTCACAATATGCTTTGATCTTCTTCCAGGTCCTAATTCACACTCCAGTCCAAACAGTGGCTCAGTTTCCCATCTCTCATTGTCTTGTAACACGCTGTGGTATAGCTGCAGTTAGCAAGTATGTAAAAGCAGGTCCAGCCTGATTCCTTACGTGACACTGCCACAACTGAATTTTTGCCCTTCTGAAAAAAACATACATAGCCTGAACACATTACATTAGTGCATGGTGCTTATTGTAAAGGTGAGTCTTCTGTTAATAGAACTTAAAGTGTATTCAGCAGCTTCTAATGTATTATGTGCGTTTAGTGTATTTGTGTTAGTGGAAGTATGCCTCATAACTGCAGCGACGGCTAAACAAATGTGAGTGCTTGAAGCCTGAAAACGAGGACCTTCTCTTCCTTCTCATGGTTCCATTTTTCTGTTCGGGATCAGATGAAAACATTTGTGAAATTAAGATGGGAGAACTTTTTTTTTTTTCTTAAGCTACATTGTGTTTGATTTTTTTTTTCTTTTTCTTTTATTGACAGTAGGAACATTACTTAAATTCCATTGATTTCCATTGCTATGATAAATATGAGATTCACATGTTCAACCTGTAGTAGTAAAGCATTGACCTCGGAACCTTTTTGTCTGTATTGATTTCTCACTATTAGGTTATAATAAAAAATCTGTCTAAAGTTTGAGGATTGTGACTTCTCTCGTGTGTGTGTGTGTGTGTGTGTGTGTGTGTGTGTGCGCGCGCGCGCGCACGCACGCACTTACTATAAGATGTGAAATCGACTGCAGAGTCCATCAGCCCGTGAACACACAAGCGAAGACTGGTGGAAGATCACTTTGTCATACAGAGAATGATAAATGCAACTTGTGACATGAAATATGTCATGACATGATAAACATTGACTTGGACATGTTTATATATCAGAATCTGTTTGGCCAAGTTTGTTTGACTCCAGTTCAAGTTTTTTTTTATGCAAAAAACCTGCTTTGTTTTAAAAAACAAACAAACCCTCTTGCTCTTTTACAAGTTACATAGCTATAAATGGGGTGAACATAGTGCAACCCTGGATGAATCTTAGATACTCATTTTAATAGTGTAATACTAAGCCACTGTTACCTTGAATGATATAACAGTGGGCTATTTCTCAGTGTTCATCAGCATGACAGCCTGGGGGAAGAAACTGTCTTTGGCAGCTGGTTTTAGTAAACCGCGCTCTGTAGTGCCTCCTGAAGGAAGCAGTTGCAATGTGAAGGGTCTGCAGAGATGTTTTCTGGCCCTTTCCTAAAACTGGGCCTGTACGGGTCCTTGATGGAGGGGATATATCGGTGCTGATAAGCCTCCCTGCAGAGCTGATTGTCCGTTGGAGTCTGAACTTGTCCTGCTTCATGGCTGACCAGAACTAGTGAGTACTATTATTATTGTTGTTATGATTATGTATAATGTACAGTAACTTTAGTAATGGCACTTGGCTGTGTATCTGAAGTTTTACACTGCCAACTTTCACACAGTACGTGGTCTGTCCCACCAAGGGGGAGAGAATTTTAGACCTACTGTTAGCATACAGACACACACACACATGTGCGAATGGTTAAAGGAGGTCTTAGTGAAACTACAGGGCTGTTTTGAGGTGACAGACTGGGAGACACTGTAAACTTGTCAGTGAGGACATCAGTGGGCTTACTGAGTGTATCACTGACTCCATCGTCCCTGCTCAGACTGTCCATTGTTACCTAAATAACAAGCTGTGCATAACTAAGGACATAAAACCCCTCCTCAATGACAAGAAAAGGGGCCTTCTGAGCGGGCAGTATTGAGAAGGTTCATCTTCAGAAGTTTTCTGATGACTCTGCGGTGGTTGGATGCATCAGTGAGGGTGTTGAAACAGAGTACTGAGTTATGATGGACTCTTTTGTCATCTTGATGCATGCTCAATCATCCACGTAGGTAAAACTCCAGAAGTTGATTCTGTTCATCTGGATGTAGCGTTTTCTTTTGTTGTGTGGTACGAGCAGAGTCACCTGCAGCTCAACAAGACAAAGACCAAAGAATTGTTTGTGGACTTTAGGGGGACCAGGAAACCTGTGACCCGTGTTTCAATCCAAGGGGTCGATGTGGACATTGTGGAGGACTATAAATACCTCAGAGTACACATAATAAACTAGACTAGGTTAAAAACACCACTGCACTCTACAGGAAGTAGAAAGTAGAAGTTTTTCCCGAATATCCTGTGTAAGCCTCAGAGAGAGAGGCTGTACAGGAAAATCTCAGCAGTTTGTGAAACCGCAGCTCCCATTCAAAGTCTCTTAATCACCTTTCTTCCCTACGCTGATGCTAGGTATGAATTTCAGGAGGTCGTCTACATGCATTAATGTACAGACTTGGAGCCGGTGAGCGTATAGACACGTTATATTTGCGATTTGTTGCCTGTTAACGAGGAATCAAAAATAGGAGATTGACATTTTTCAGCCAATAATTTTTTAGAATGAGAGGCGCAGGGAGCATTGGTCTGACCAATAGGAATCTTTCTTACTGCGACGGCCCGTCCCACGTCCGAAGGATTAACCTTTGTGATTTTCTGTTGGGCGCCATTTTGATTGAAGTATTGTGTGAGAGCTAAAGCAGGAAGCACTTTGTCAGCTATTTGCACACATTTAAACCTGAGTTGACTGATCGCTCATACTGATTGAGCCATTTAAGTAATTCGAAAATGGCGACGGGAGCAAATGCAACTCCATTAGGGAAGTTGCACCCTAGTATTGGCGCTAAACGAGCCTTTGATGCCGGGCCTGGTGCGGGGAACGGGCTGATGCCAACACCGGGGCCGCCCGGGTCCTTTCCTTCTCTACAAGGCTTCCAGCCTTCGATGCCAAGCGCATCTTTTCCCCAGTCTCATCAGTTCAACCCGGGGACAAGTTTTTCGAGTCAAGCTCAACAGCAATCTGCTGCGGGGAGCGGAATGGCTAAACCTGGTAAGTTAAGCGAGCTGAAGCTAACTCCTGTAGCCCTCAACGCGGCGTTAGCGAGCTGAAGCTAACGACGTTAACCAACATGGGTGACGAGCCCTGGCCTGAACGGCATGGATAAGGAGCCGCTAAAGTTGGTTAGTAAACGATAGTGGTTGGTGTTTTTTGGTCTAGGTTGTCCTCTTCTGACCTGACGGTTTAGTTAACGAGGGTTAATAGTGAAGTCTGGCGAAACGACAGCTCTCTGCCTGACGGTATGTTTTATTGGTAACAGTGCATTGCCTCGCTTTCATACGTAAACCTCATCAAGGCCATCCATAACTGTCTTTTTCTAAATCGAAGCACATGAGAGAGGAGTAGCTGATAGAGCCCAAACGAGGAGTCACCACGTTGCCGTTCTCCTGCATTTAATCTCGAAATACACTGGCTCCATCAATGCCGTGAAGGGCGGTAGAGCTGGCGTGCATCATGTAATGTTTCACCGGCATGCTGTGTTTCTCGCGGTAGATTTCGGCCAGAAGAAGTCAAGAAAGAAGAGTCGTTGGAGCAGCGAGACGCCTGATCAGAAGACCGTCATACCGGGCATGCCCACCGTTATCCCACCCGGACTGACCCGGGATCAGGAGAGAGCATATATAGGTAAATATTGAGTTGGTGATAATGAAACATGTAGTTTCTTGTATTATGTGTCTAGGAAATTACTTGTTTGGGGTTTAAGTTTCCCTGCCAGTAATAATTTTATCCTGTTTGCTGAACTGCCAACAGTTAGAGCTTCTAAAGACACCCATTACACATTCTGGTTCCAGTATGTTTACTCTAACACGATGGGACATTTTGCTCCAGCTGTTGTCTTTTCTGAAGAGCAATGATTACTTTATGATTGAAAATGTTAAGTTGACTTCTTTGTAATGGAGGCTTAGTGGTGGTGCTGCATAGTGTTATAGTTTGCATACCATTGGGCACCCATTAGCAAGAGGAGTAGATTGTTAAACACCACTGCTTGCAGATATCTGTCCTCAGCTGCAGGTCACTGCTCACTGTCTTGCCTGATTCCCTACACATCATCAGTTTTGTTCCTGTGCATGGAGGAGTTAGTCATAATGTCCTAACATTGCTAAAGAATGCTGTTTATTTTGGTTTGAAGTGTGAGCAATGCTGCTTCAATGGCAAACGAATCCAGTGAGTTTAAAGAAGACAAATTGTTGTTTTTGTGGCCACTGCAAATTTGGAAATGCTTAAGGACTGTGTGCGCGCTCTGATTTTGGCCTGTCCCAAAAACATTGATCATAAAAAGTCCTTTTGAACCACACATGCCTTCCAGCAGCAGTGTAACACCAACATACTGCCTTCACAGGCCCTCAGCGGGTGTTCTGAAGCAGACCAATCCTTTTTTTGTCAAAAACTAACATCATTATTGATGTTGTGCACTCATTGGTAATGGTTGATCTTGGTATGTAAACATTCATTTGTGCCCACCCTCCGTCGTCACACTTGTTATTTTTCCTCATTCAGTAAAGCCCCAAAAACATTGTGAGGGAAGATTTAAAGATGAAGCACAAGTCACTGGCCCTTTATTATTCTTCTCAATAACCCAGACTAATAGTTTCAGTGCCAGTGAACGTGTGTTTGGTGTATTTCATCACAGCTTTCATAATGTGCGTTAGATGACTGACTGATTTCATTGCCTTTGGAACGATCCCCTCAGTGTTAGATCTGTGGAGTGACTGCGACTGACTTTATAAAACCAAATAGCCAGTGTATCCTCAAATGTTTAAGATTTAAGCACTTTTCATGGAATTAATTAAAGAGTCTTTTATGCGGTAGGTATTATTAGGAGTCGTGGAGTTAACGGACACATTGACGTTCAGAAGACGTTAGACTTTTTCATGCTAAAGTAAACGACCTCTAGGACTTGCTGGTAATGTGTGCTTCTGATGATGTAATACTTTAGAGTCTTGCCAGATGTTTATTTGATCTTCCTTTTGTATTTAACAGACTCACCGTTTGTCTTTACCTCAGTAATGAATGAGATAGTGCTCCAATGTGCAGAGCATTGTCTCTCTGTTGTTATTGTGGTAATCAAATTTCTCTCCATCCTTGTTTTTCTTTCCTAACCTGAATTCTTCCAGTCCAACTGCAGATTGAAGACCTGACTCGTAAACTGCGTACAGGAGACCTGGGAATCCCTGTTAACCCTGAGGACAGGTCGGAAAAAGATTAAATCCACGAACAGTAACACTTTCTCTACCTTCTTGACTTTTTGGAAGACATGTTCAGAGTATATGTGGTTGTTAGCCTAAAACTTTAGTATTAGCTGAAGGATGTAGTTTAGTGAAGAACAGTGTTGTTTAGACAGTTTGAGTTCTTCACATTTCCATTTCCTGTTGCTAGAGGAGAATTGATATATATGAACGTTTTTCTAAAGACTGCTCCTCGTCCATCACCACTTAGTACACGTGACTACTAGTTTCAGCACTTCTCTATACATGCAGTGATTGTCTAGAATTGGTAATGATGCATTTTTAAAAGTAAATTAACATTTTCTTTGAGTAAACTGGAGAGTGATTAACGGAACTCCACTGTTACACTGTTTCCTGTAAAACAACACAAGTTTGAATGTTTTTACTCAAGATGGAGAAGCAGTGTTTGTAATTACACTGAAATGAAAGAATTGTAATAGAACGGACAGCCAAAAGCCAACCTTAGTAACATTTGA